ATTGAGAAGATGAAAATACATATAAAGAACTTACAATTTGGAGCTAAAATGAAGAAGATATGAAGATTTGAAGTTTCTCTCTCTCTAAACCCTTTGGAGCTCGAAAATGGAGGAAGAAAGAAGGTGTTTTGAACTGATTTAGGGTTGGAAGAGGTGTGTTTGAGTTGAGGAAAAATCGGGCAATTTATAGCAGAAATTTCCCCGAAGGCGGCCAACCAGGCGGCCGCCTTCCGCCTCTCTCCGGCCGCCTGCCGTCCTCGTCGCCGACAGCGGTCGGTGGCCGGTCCCCGTCAGCCGTAGGCGGCCACAGAGGGCGGCCGCCTTCCGTCACACATCGGCCGCCTGCCGTCTTTTCATGGTCAAATCGGATCGCGGCGGATCCCGGCGGATCCCGGCCGCCGCAGGCGGTCCAGCAGGCGGCCGCCTGCCGTCCTGTCTGGCCGCCTGCCGTCCCGTCTGGCCGACCGGTGGTTGGTTTCGTCCCCTTGTGCCGCAGGCGGCCACCGTAGGCGGCCGCCTTCTGTCCAGTGTCGGTAGCCTTCGGTCTTTTCCTGGTCCCGAGTCAAAGCGAGGTTGACTTCTGATTTTTCCTGTAGGCGGCCGCGAAGGCCTCCATTTTGGGTGCCTATTTGGGCGCCTTCGGCCATTTTTGTCTGGCAGATGCGGCTTTTCTTGCTCTTCAACTTTGTCTTCTGAATCACCTTGATAAAATGCTTGCTTCTTCCGGTATAAATGCATTTGTCACTCAAATTGACTCATTTTGTGCTCAATTGACCCGAAATCCCGCTAAACATATTATGGATGTGATTTTTACCTGATTTCATGAAACTTGAACCAAAATATATAAAATGTGTCTTTTCTTTCTATTTTCATTCAAAAATCGCTTAAATTTGATAAGAAAAATAAGTTCAAAAATGGACTTATCAATCTCCTCACACTTAAGCGTTGCTTGTCCTCAAGCGACGAGTTAGTTGTAAACACACTCAAAAGGTAAAGCCTAACTGTATTACAATCTAATTGCTATTTTAAAGAAGTAGAAACAAAAACCTCATCTTTTATTCTCAATTTTTAAACATTTTAGAAAAATCACCCAAAATACAAGAGTTTAAAATTAGTATTACTTAAGAAAAACTATTTATTATGTTAAACCACCAATCAATTACTTATCCCAAGGTTTTCATTATTTTAATTTGGACATTCATCTTGTTCACCATTTTTTTGTTTTTTTTTGTTTTGCTCTTTTTCACTCTTGTTGGCGGTGTTATCCCATGGTAAATGCATATTTCATTCTCACAGACTGTGATTAACGAATGAAACAGAGCCCCTTTTCGGAGATGGAATTGTCCTATAACAATGAGTTTTGAAGAGGTTTATTAGTAGTAACATGTTTTTTTTTTTTGATGGTTGGGTTGCCTCCCAATGAGCGCTTCTTTAACGTCACTAGCTTGACGAATGTCCTCCTTCGGTTCAAAATTTTTGGAGATAGAGAATCTCCTTGCTTTTTTCAATTGGGCCGCCATGGTAGAGTTTAAGTTGGTGGCCGTTGACTTTAAAGGGACCCCCATTAGCATCTTCAATCTCAACGGTTCCGTAGGGGTAAGCTTTTATGACCTTGAACGGTCCGGACCATCTTGACTTAAGCTTTCCTGGAAAAAGCTTTAACCGTGAGTTGAATAATAACACCTTATCTCCAGCATTGAAATCACGAGCCTTGATGTGTTGATCATGGTAGAGTTTGGCCCGTTCCTTGTAAAGTTTGGAATTATGAAAAGCTTGCGCTCTCCACTCTTCCAGTTCATTCAGCTGGTAAAATCGTTCCTTCCCTGCAGTATCCAGTTTAAAACAGACATTTTTCATCGCCCAAAGTGCTTTATGCTCGAGTTCGACGGGTAAGTGGCAAGACTTCCCGTATACAAGGCGAAAAGGTGTGGTTCCGATCGGGGTTTTGTAAGCAGTCCGAAATGCCCAAAGAGCGTCGTCAAGTTTAGTTGACCAGTCTTTCCTGGTCTGGGCAACAGTTTTCTCCAGAATGGACTTCAAATCCTTGTTAGCGTTTTCCACTTGTCCCTGAGTCTGGGGGTGGTACGCTACTCCGCTTCGATGTTGGACTCCATATTTGGCCAAAATTCTAGCCATTGGGTCATTGTGGAAATGAGTCCCTCTATCGCTGATCAAAACCCTGGGCACACCAAATCTGGTAAAGAGCTTTTTCAGAAAATTCACGACTACTCGAGAGTCGTTGGTGACACAGGCCTGGGCTTCGACCCATTTAGAAACATAATCAATGGCCACAAGAATGTATTTGTTTCCTCTTGAGCTTGGGAAAGGTCCAACAAAGTCGATGCCCCAAACATCAAATACCTCACAAGGTAAGATAAAGTGTTGGGGCATCTCATTGCGCCCAGAAATGTTCCCGATTCGTTGACAGTTATCACAAGAGGAAACAAATTCATTAGCATCTTTAAAAATCGTGGGCCAGAAGTACCCACAGTCCAAAACCCGCCTTGCGGTTCTATTCCCTGAAAAGTGGCCCCCAGTAGGACCGCTGTGACAATGCTCCAGAATGTCCCTTGCCTCAGCTTCAGTAACACATCTTCTCACCACCTGGTCAGCACAAATTCGGAATAGATATGGATCATCCCAAAAATAGTGCTTTGCTTCTGATAAGAACCGCCTCTTCATGTGTCTCGTCAGTTCAGTAGGCTCGACTTTACCAACAAGGTAGTTGGCAATGTCGGCATACCACGGTGTTTGTTCCTTGGCGGATATTGCCATCAGTCTCTCAGCAGGAAAAAGTTCCTCAATTTCGCATTTTCCGAAAGTTTCTGCTAACTCGGCATCTAACCTCGAGAGGTGGTCAGCTGCCTGATAAGCAGATCCCTTTCGGTCCCTGATTTCAATATCAAATTCCTGCAACAAAAGAACCCAGCGTAACAGTCTAGGCTTAGCATCATGCTTTTGGAGGAGATATCTAATGGCCGAATGGTCGGTATAGATAATAACCTTCGAAAGAATGATGTAAGTCCTAAACTTCTCTAAAGCACAAACAATAGCAAGGAATTCTTTTTCAGTGATAGTGTAGTTGAGTTGTGGCCCTGACAGAGTTTTGCTAGCGTAGTAGATTGGGTGGAAGTTCTTGTCCTTCCTTTGACCAAGGATGGCCCCCACTACTAAGTCACTAGCGTCACACATAAGTTCAAAGGGTAAGCTCCAATCTGGGGCCACAAGCACAGGTGCATTGATCAGTTGTGTTTTAAGTGCTTGGAAAGCATGGTGACATTCATCAGAGAATATAAAAACCGCATCTTTTTCAAGTAACCGGGTGAGAGGTTTTGCGATTTTAGAGAAATCCTTTATAAAACGACGATAAAAGCCCGCGTGTCCTAAGAAGCTGCGGATGGCTTTTACCGTGGTTGGTGGAGGAAGTTTCTCTATCGTCTCAATTTTTGCACGGTCCACCTCTACCCCGTTACTTGACACTTTATGTCCAAGTACTATACCCTCTTTCACAAGGAAGTGACATTTCTCCCAACTTAGGGCTAAATGGGTTTCCTTGCAGCGGATAAGTACTTTTTCTAGGTTTTCAAGGCATTTTTCAAATGTTTCCCCAAAAATAGAGAAGTCATCCATGAATACCTCCATGAAGTGGCCAATGTATTTTTCAAAAATGGCAATCATGCACCTCATGAAGGTGGCAGGGGCATTACAGAGACCAAAAGACATCCTACGAAAAGCAAAGGTCCCGAAAGGGCATGTGAACGTAGTTTTGTCTTGGTCTTCCGGGTTGACATGGATTTGGAAGTATCCACTCATGCCATCCAGGAAACAGTAGTGACTATGGCCTGCCAACCTCTCTATTAATTGATCGATGAAGGGAAGGGGAAAATGGTCTTTCCGAGTGGCTTCGTTCAGTTTGCGGTAATCGATTACCATTCGCCACCCGGTAACAGTTCGACTGGGTAGAAGTTCGCCCTTTTCATTTTTCATGACGGTCATTCCCCCTTTTTTGGGGACAACATGAATAGGGCTTACCCACTGGCTATCAGAGATGGGGTAAATGATACCCGCATCCAGCAGTTTGACAATCTCGGCACGCACTACTTCCATCATGTTTGGGTTTAAACGTCGTTGTGGTTGGACAACTGGTTTAAACCCTTCCTCAATTTTGATGGTGTGGGTACAAAAGGTGGGGCTAATTCCATTGATGTCCTCAAGTTTCCAAGCAATTGCTTGCTTGTGTGTCTTAAGGACTCCAAGTAATTTCTCCCTTTGTTCCTCACTTAAGTGTGCGGCGATGACGACAGGGCATTTGTCTTCGTCATCCAAGAATGCATATTCTAAGTGGTCGGGCAGTTTCTTTAGTTCGAGGGGGTGGTCGTTTTTCAAGTTTTGTTCATTTTTCTCCCCCTCAAACTCAGTCAATACTTCGTTAGAAGCTTGATCAATCAGCGCATCCTCACATCTCTCGCATGCATCACTCACATCACTGTTGGCTTCTTTTAACAGACATGCTTCATCAGTTACATGTCCATTTTCTTCCCCAAACAGATACCCTTCAATAGACTCAAAGGTATCAAGAAAATGACATCCTTGAAAGGAATCTGTGGGGTGTTTCATAACATCTGAGAGTCGGAAGGTGCATAGATCATCTCCGACTCTTAGAGTTAATGAGCCATCAGTGACATCAATCAAGGCCCTGGCGGTAGCCAGAAAGGGCCTCCCCAGAATAAGAGGTGTTTCCCTATCCTCTTCCATGTCCATTACTACAAAGTCGACTGGGAAAATGAATTTGTCAACCTTGACCAAGACGTCTTCAACAATTCCTTTCGGATATTTGACTGAGCGATCAGCCAGTTGAAGACACATCCTGGTGGGTTTCATTTCCCCGAGTCCTAGCTTTTCGACTATAGAGGAAGGCATCAGATTGATACTTGCCCCTAAGTCAGCTAGAGCATTATTGAAATTGAAATTGTCTATAGAGCAAGGGATAGTGAAACTACCTGGATCCTTTAGCTTTTCGGGTATTGACCTTAGAACCACGGCCGAGCATTCTGCGTTCAAGTCCACGACTGAGAGTTCCTGCAGCTGCCTCTTGTTTGTCAGCAAGTCTTTGAAAAACTTGGCATATTTGGGCATCTCCGCTAGGGCATCCATCAGCGGCAGGTTGACGTGGAGTTGTTTGAGTAGGTCCAGAAATTTGTTGTACTTCCTGCTATCGTCATCATTTCTAACCCGTGAAGGAAACGGGAGAGAAGGTTTGACGATAGTGACCTTTGTGTTAGGGCGTGTTGGTTCCATGCTCTTCTCAGTTGGAGCATCAGTTTGTTGCTCAGGTTCTATGATCAGAGTATCATCTTTGTCTTTCTGATCGACTTCTTTCGTTTGTCTCCCACTTCGGAGAGTGATGGCTTGCACATGTTCACGGGGGTTTGGTTCCGTGGTGCTAGGCAAGTTGCCTGGCTGGCGACCGGGCACATTGTTCTGAGTAATTTGCATCATCAGATTTTTGATCTGATTGTCAGTGCTGGCCTTGTATCTTGACATTTCCTCCCGTGTCCTTGCCAGTTCTGCAACCAGCAGGCCTATCTCTGATGGTTGGGCAGCCTCCGTTTGTCGTTGATGTGGAGGCACATAAGCCTGGTTGTTCTGTTGGGCTGGTGCACCTCCCTGGTTCCGATTCTGGAAGTTGTTCCCTTGATTATTGTTGGGGTAGTTTTGATTACCTTGATAACCGCCGTGAGGAGGACCATTGTTGTAATCCCCCCGCCATTGGTTACCTTGGTAATTCCTTCCTTGGAAATTCTGAGGAGGGTAGTTGGAGTTACCCCCCCTGTTGCCCTGATTCGCCCATGGCCCTTCTTGTTTTGTTCGGCCGTACTCCAGCATGTTCACTTCCCTGTTGTTGTTTACATTACATTCATCGACTAATTGACATGAGTTGGTCAAATGTGGACCAAAACATATCTCACATGAGAGTACAAGTTCAGTTGAATGAGAAACAGGTGAAAAAGTATTAAATTGAGATGACTGTGGAGCAGAGCTTGTGTTCCCGAAGTATCGGGATGATTGTTGATTCGGGACAGCACCGATGTTGTTGACTTGGTTGGTGTGATTGTTATCATTCTTCAAATTCTTCACTTCCACGACCAACCCTTCAATCTTTGCTGTTAAGGCCGTGAGTTGGTCAACTTCAAGATAGCCTGGTTTTGTTGCTGCTGGAGTTCTTTCGTCATACCAGTATCTTGCATTTGAAGTGACCTTCTCCACCAGAGCTTCGTTGGTGTTGGGTGCCATGTCAAGGAATGATCCCACCTGAGAAGAGAAATCAAGTTCTTTTTTGCTACTAACTTGAAGTCCATTATAAAAATGGAACATCAAGCTACTAGAATCCATCAGTGTGAGTGGACATTTGTTTCTCATATCCTTGAAACGATCCCATGCTTCACTTAAGGACTCCATCGGGAATTGTTTAAAATTTTGAATTGCTGTTTTAATTTTAGCAACTGCCGATGGAGGAAAGTATTCTTGCATGAATGCTTGGTGCAGTGCCGCCCATGTTGTGAAGTGACCCGTTGGAAAGCTATTCAGCCACAAAGATGCCCTATCCCGTAATGAGAAGGGAAATAGGGTCAACTTTGCGGCGTCGGGGGTCACTCCGTTAAAGCGGAACGTTTGGCATGCTCGGGTGAACCACAACATGTGGGCCCTAGGGTCATCTTGCTTGGACCCGCCAAATTGATGGTTGGACATCATGTTGACAATGGCGGGTTTGATCTCGAAATTGGCTGCCTCGATTGCCGGTGCGCTGATACTATCATCCTCGATGAAGTTTGGCGTAAGATTTTGCAACACCGTCTTTTCTCCCGCCATGCTTGGTTTCTTGTGGATTGAAAGATTTTTCCACAAAGTTCGTTCAGGTTCAGGATCAAGTTCAATTAGACCTTCCGCTCCTTTAGAGCGGGTGTGCATTCATTTATCCTGAAATCTTTATACAAATTGTCGCAAGGGCGAAAAAGTCTCCCTAACTAGAATTCACCTATGCTAGAACTAAATCAAGAAATAATCGTGCCATTCCCCGGCAACGGCGCCATTTGATAACCGCTTTCGCGGCGTTGTAGTAAAACGGAGTCTAACCTTTCGGTTTTTCCCCGAGTGTCGTGTCTCTTGAGGAATGGCGGAGAAGTTTCTTAATTTAATTTTAGTCACGGGCTATCGCTAATTGTTGGAAGCTTTTTCAATATAGGAAAGTGATTTTGTTCTATATTACGCTAAATTATAACTAGGAGCAAGGTGCAATTTAAAGATTAATGTATAAATATTGAATATTCAAGGATGCAAATAAGGGCAATGAATTGAGTAATTAGAAATGGATATGTTCTTGGACCTCTTAATTAGCTAGGGAAATTAAAACTAAAATTGGACTAATAATTTCCTTCCTCATAGACAAGAATAGAAACTATCTTCATTAATTTATCCTATTTCTAGGTGTCATTAATGTGTTTAAAATGGTTGGCTTAAATTATTTTCTAAACCCATAGACAAGGTAGAAATAATTTTCCAATATTTTAATTAATAAAAATAGCCAAATTCATTAACTAGTTAAACTCTTTATTTTAGCAATTGAATTTATTTCTCATAGACAAGATGTAAATCCTTTTCATTAATTTATCCTATTTCTAGGCCTTATTAATGTGCTAAAATATGGTTGGCTTAAATTAATTTCTAATCTCATAGACAAGTTAGAATTAATTTTCCAAGAATTTAATTAATGAAAATGGCTAACTATTATTAATTACTATTTCATCATTTTAAACAACTAGTCCAATTTATTAATTTTAACCCCTAATTTTAGGTCAACAAGTCAATCCATATTCCTTTTCTCAATTCATGCCCTAACAAATTTAGCTACTCATCATCATTTTTGCAATTAACAACATAATGATTAAATTCAACATTAACAAGGAATTAAACATGTATGAAAGCAAACAAAAAAAAAACAAAAAAATTATATTATTGCATAATAAACTTGTAGGAACTAAAATATAACTTTATGGAAATTTTCACCAATTTTTGAACCTAAAATCCAATTTTAACAACTAATTGATAACTTTCCCAATTTTAACTAGAAAATGCAAAAAGCAACTAAAAATATGCTAACTTCGTTATAAATTTTATTTTAGCTACTGGGAGGTATATAACTGTGAATAAACTGTAATCAGGTCCGAACTAATTTTTTTTTCCTTTTTTAGTATTTATTTTGATTTAAGCAATAATATAAGGTAATTACCGAAATTAATAAAAAAAACTCTAAATTCGTACCAAATTTTATATTAACTACTAGTAATGATATTTAAGTTAACTAAACTGTAAATAGGGCCGAACTCATTTTTTTCTTTTTTTCTAGTATTTATTCTAAATTATGAACTAATATCAAATAATTACCAAAATTAATTAAAAATTACTTCTGGTTCGTGAAAAATTAATTTCTTCAGATAAATAACTACCTTGAGTCTAGTGAACAACTATATAATTAATTGGAATGAATTCAACAACAATAACTATTTTATTTAATTTTTGGAAGGAAATGCGAAATACTTGAAAAATAATCTGGAAATTTTCGAAGAACAGATCGAAGAAACAAAGCACAGATTCAGATTCTACACATTGAGAAGATGAAAATACATATAAAGAACTTACAATTTGGAGCTAAAATGAAGAAGATATGAAGATTTGAAGTTTCTCTCTCTCTAAACCCTTTGGAGCTCGAAAATGGAGGAAGAAAGAAGGTGTTTTGAACTGATTTAGGGTTGGAAGAGGTGTGTTTGAGTTGAGGAAAAATCGGGCAATTTATAGCAGAAATTTCCCCGAAGGCGGCCAACCAGGCGACCGCCTTCCGCCTCTCTCCGGCCGCCTGCCGTCCTCGTCGCCGACAGCGGTCGGTGGCCGGTCCCCGTCAGATGTCTGGCAGATGCGGCTTTTCTTGCTCTTCAACTTTGTCTTCTGAATCACCTTGATAAAATGCTTGCTTCTTCCGGTATAAATGCATTTGTCACTCAAATTGACTCATTTTGTGCTCAATTGACCCGAAATCCCGCTAAACATATTATGGATGTGATTTTTACCTGATTTCATGAAACTTGAACCAAAATATATAAAATGTGTCTTTTCTTTCTATTTTCATTCAAAAATCGCTTAAATTTGATAAGAAAAATAAGTTCAAAAATGGACTTATCACACCCCAATCACCCCGACCCTCATAACCATATCCTTCTTTCTTTAAAAATCTATCCAAATCCTCAACCAAACCCCACACGCAAAACAATCATAATCTTGTTCTCATCACTTTCCTCTTACTCCACATACCCTCTAATCCATAAACTCTTACACTCACCCCTCTCCCAAACCACAATTTTATATCTTCAAAAAAACCCAAAAAAAAGTGATGGCGATAACGAGCACTAGGGACAGTGCTTCGAACTAAGTGAGGGGGAGTCACTCACTGATACGTACTTAAGTTTGATACCTTGTAACTGGCATTATTTTCTTCACATAAAAAAAAACACAAAAAAAACAAAAGAAAAAAAAAAAGAAAAAAAATTAAAATAAAAGAAATGCTAGTTAGGTTGAAAACCCAAAAATGGGCAATCTAAGCAAAAAGGGCTTATAAAAATGAGTGAGTGGAAAGGATGGAAAAATAAAAAGAGATGCTAGGATGAAAACCTGAAAAGGCTCCTAGGCAAAATGAGAGATATGAGAGATATATTTGTTTTTACAGGACATCATTTAATCTCTTGAACATGAAAAGAGGAGAAGAAAAGAGATGAGCATAGAAGACCATGAAACCCAAGAAGATATTGTTCTTTGAGCTAAACACTCAATGTAAAACTCAAGTTTTATCCTTGGTGATCTTTTGCTTTTTCTTGTTGATTGTTGAACTTTTGAGGATTTGGAAGTGTTAAACATTTGACTTTACTCGAGGACGAGTAAAGAAGCTAAGTGTGGGGGAGTTGATATTCGTGTAATTTCCGATTGTATGTTTGTATTTTTAACTAGTTTTTATTAGTTCTAGTTGTGGAAATTACACACTTTTGGTGTAATATTTTATTTTCATTTTTATTTGTAATTTGTTTAGATTAGGATTATTCTGAGCTAAACAGGTCAAAGATCATCCAAGGGATCAAGATTGGACCTTAAAAGATCAAGGAAAGTGCAAGGAGACAAGAAAGATCTCGATTCGGAAAAAGTACTCATGTACCCGGTCGGGTATTGCCTATACCCGATCGGGTATTCAC